CTAAAGATAATAATAATATTTATTATTCCGTTTATTTTTCAAAGTTTTGTTACACATTTTAATGTAACATCATAATATTAAACCTACTTAGTTGCCATATTTTTAAAAAATGCATTGTTTCAACGTGGTCGTAACGGAGTAATGCGCAACAATAAATTGTTATAAAAAAGTTATTCCGAAGCAATATTAAAAAATATAATATAGTTTGCTTGTAGCAATAGAGTAACCCGGAACAATAATACAAATTTAATGTTCTGTCAAAATAGGAATGGAGTAATCCGGACCACGCCTTATTACTCCGAATGTCTGAATGAAATTCAATTATCCTACTAAAATCATATAAAGAAAATATCAAAAAGGAAAAGACACCATTGTCATATAGAAATACCTAATTTGTTATTAAGTGAGTAGTACAACATGTGTAATTTTTTTTTTTCATTGACAGTTTAATTAATTAGTTAAAATGTGAAATATTTTTCATTATTTACCCCCCCAAAAAAAAAAAAATAATCTAATAATTTAATTTAACTAATTGTTTTAAACAAATATAATTTTTATCATAACTCGTAAAAGGTTTGTTTTAATTTGTCATCAGAAATGAATTGTTTAACAGATATTTTTAATTATGTTAATCGAAAATATTTTTCAACGTGATACATTGGTAATAACGATAAATGTGATGTCCGCCAATCTTACTTTTAATACGACATTGCAAAAACACCAAATAATCTCCTTTTAAATATAAAGAAAACCGCGAAACAAAATAAAATTTGATCCAACGTTTCTTTCCATCATAAATGTTTAATCCTTACAGGTTTTTTTATAAAAGCGATTATCCAAAACGACTCTCTAGATATTTCCACTGCGATAGGCTTAAAGTGTATCACAATAATTATGCACTTATATAAGATAAATTAAGATATAATAAAAAAATAATAAAAACACTTAATTTCATAAAAAAGTATGACGCAAACGGTTCTGAAGAATCGATTTGATAAAATATAAAACAAATGAATTTTAGCAACAAAAAAAAAAGTAGCAAAGAGCATTGGCCTTTTTGACGTGGTGAAATATATCTTGTGAAAACACAGAATCTTAAAATAGTGAACTGACGTGGGTTGAGTTGAATTAGGTTGTGCATAAAAAGCTTTATCTTTGTTGTGTACAAATGCTATTTTGATATATTATCTAGTCAAACAAAAAACAGTCATCAACAACAAGTTTTTAGGTTACCAAAGTTTGCAGAAAAAAATACAACCGGTAAGAAAATTTACAAAAATAAATATTTTCTAAGTAGGGAACATTTAGTTATGAGTATCTACTTAGCATTATTAACATAATATTATTGTATTGTTTTAACAAGTTTAGAGTAAAACATTTTGTTTTTTTTTAATTATTTTAGGCGACCTTAATCAATATCTTTGTTACAAAACTATTATGGACTTGTTTAACATTAAAATGTAGTATATAATTATTATAATGACAATAGCAAAGTAAAGTTAAATTAACGCTTAAAATTTCAAAATAAAAAGTACAATTTTTAATTTAACCAGACTTGAGAAGTAGAATACAAAATGCTTTTATAACGAGTATAAAAAAAGTGAAGTTGCGGTAGGTACCCAAGGCCTAACAAACTCACATTTTAACAAACAAACAAAAACGACAATCGTACAGCCATATTAAAAAAAATTGCTTGTTCCTAATTAACCACTCGAAGTTTGATAAAAGCATAGGTATGCGGTGAAAAGCAATTGTTCCACAAGTATTCAAGATCATATTTACATTCTAGACTCTTTCCGGTAAAAGCACATACTGAATAAATACACGATTTCAATGCACATTAAATAATAATATTAAACAAATTGAATTTCCGTGCTCTTTCTGTCCAATGTTACAAACACAATTACACATTATTATCCTTTACGCATTTCACCTTAATCATAACTTACAAGACTAACAAAAATGTAATACAATTTGTAGTTTATTATTTATATTTGATGTTTACCCAATGAATACACCGAAGACGAAAAAATAAAATTACTTAAAGAGTATCACAGGGTAAGGCAAACATTATACACATTATTGTAGGTCAGCCGTTTGTTGTATACAACAAGCGTTTGTGTATATCTGTATTGTTGTTCAGCTATATACTTTGTTGGTTAATTTTCCACAATAGGACATAATATTATATAGTTTAACACTACCGTGTATGTTTGTTCCTGTGTTGTCAATTATATTATTTCCCAATATCATCAAATAGTTATATTATATAAAGGGGTGATTGGTTAACCGGTATGACTCGGGCAATATCTTAAAAAAAATTAAACTTTTTTTTAATTATTCTTTTTCATGGTTTTATAGATATTAGTTAGCCAAAATTTGATATATTTTTTTCAAAAATACAAGGGCATAGAGTATACTTTTTATCTGTACGCGGTACATAACCGTATTTCACCTCCCGTTCGAAATTTTACTTATACTTCAATAACTTTAAAATGAGTTATTCAATACTAGTTATCGACCAATCGAAATTTTCAGCATATTATTCTTAATTTAAAAATTTAAGTTAATATACACGTCATAATGTGTTCAATAATATTATATATATATATATATATATATATTACAGAATCTAATCATATTATACAGTATAACCATATTATATCGCCTTAAATAATAAATATATTTTCGATTGATCGTCGTTGAGTATTCCTCTTGAACAAAGCACGCCGCCGGTGTTTTGTATTCAAAAGAACGCCTTCTATATTATCATGTACACACTACTCGAGCGAAGGTAATCCAAAGAAAAGCGTTTTTATTTTATTTATGGCTCTGTTCCGACCGCATCTCGATCAAGACATCGTCGACGAGCAATAACCATTCGACACATTCTGTTACGTTCCACTTTATCACGAATAGCGATTGATATTGGCATTTTTCGCACATAAGGTACACCCAGCAAAATATTATGTTCAGTGCAATCTAATTTCTCTATGTTACCCGAGTGCGGTGTTCCAGTATTATATATTTTAGTCACGATAACATTGTACATCTATATGTTTCGTTTTAGTAGATTAATTTGCATTAATAATAGTTTTTTATGAGACGTTTTCATAAAAAAAACACTAATTGAGGACGTTCATACTGCACGCCGAGCAGATAGCACACAGTGTTTTTTTTATCAATACCTGTTTTTATTTGTTTTTTTTAATTAACGAAAGTCGCACAGTCATTGCCATCATACGTTACACAATATTACCATCAGTCGTGCAAAGAGATAACGACAAAAATATTTTGACCCGTTCGACTGTTGGAACTTTTTTAATGTTAATTTTATTCAAGAACAGCTAGCGATTAATTTGTGTTCGTGTCAATAACCTATTTGAAATAATTTAAAAAATAAAATAAAACTTTTATCCCCTTTTTATTATAATAATAAAGATTACACGACTCGGGCGAGAGTTGTAGGGATTATTTATTAAAATTAGAGGGAAAAAGAGGAATATATATGTTCGCCGTTTATACGCATAATATAATTTAAACATAAAATATATATATTTTTTAAAACATTGCGAATCGCCGACGCCAATGAAAGGAATATTATACGGAAACGATAAACCATGTATTATAGTTCTTTAAGTGTAATAATTATTATGAACAAACAAGAAAGTTTTGTACAAACTCCCATGGGTATACAGTATACAAATATTATACTGTTCATTTTTATTACTGCATAACTTCCAAAAATGTGTCGAACCAAAATAATATTATATTATTACACCGAGTGAATAAATGTATACTTAAAAAATATCGTCGGCCACGTGTAAACTCTTTAAAGTCGGATTTCAGCGAAAACGCTACAGGCACTTCCGTTGCGGTATTAAACGAAAACCGCATTGAATGTTCCGCATTAACCGTTCATAGGTACCTTGTTAGGTCTCTATTATTATTTTTTATTTTATCTAACAACAATTTCTTATTAAAACGTTCTCATGTACAAGTATACACAAACGAATTTCAACAATATGAACGCATAAACCTAATAAAATACACTACAATAACTATATATTATGCAATCAGTAGACAATATTATTTTCGCAGTACCGAAAAATGTGCTCGAAATCTTTCAACAATTGATTGGGAATGTAAATAATAAAGGTAAATTTTAAAAATAACTAGTTCAAACGAGATTACTCATATACTTGTAAAAATGACCCGCCAAAATGAGTTAAAACGTAGCGCAGTTTCATAGAATTATTATTGCTCAGTGTTAGGAAAATTTCATTGAAATAAAAATAATGAATAAAAAATTAAAGTTGTATTCATTAATTGATATTAAAATAGAGTTCTTTATTCATAAACACATCATTTAAACTAAAAAAATAATTAATTGAAAAAAATTAGCAATATTTAGAATTAATGAATAAATTATTAAATTGTTTCCAATAATATTTCAGTACTTAATTACGGATTAAGAATAAATTGTAGCGTTGAAAATCAAAAAGATAAAAGTGATTTTTACAAAATTACTTAAATAAACATTATATTTCCTATATATTTTTATGGGTGATGTTTATTTGCTCTTTTTTTTAATATCTACATGGAAAATTGAGGACAAATTTCCAAACTCGTTTGAATTGAAAAATATATTGTCGACAAATAACGTTTGATCAACAATTCTTTATTGAAAAAAATTGTCAATGTACAATATTTGGTTGTCGTCACATCCATCGGGAACGAGGAATCACCGAATCCGAACAAAATGTTATTTAATAAATTATTTAAATAACATTTTTCAACGACGTCCAAATCCGAATTTTTCTTTTCTGATCTTTTCCCCCAATCACGTGGTCAAAAAAGAAGCCTTTTATTTATTTAAAAAAAAATTTGCATGCAAAACAAAATTTGTTTTTCAATCTTATTTTCATATTATATAAATAATATACATAATATATATATATATTATTATATAAACGTCAAAGACACTGCGTCGGTCTTACCGTTGATGGTTGGACTCGTGTGCTGGACGACGGTGGACGATTTCCTTCGGCCGGTCCGACTGACGAACACGCGGCTAGACCGTACGGTAGCCGGGCGGCACATGAATCCGAGGTGGCGGCAGCGGTGACGTATGAATGCGTCCCCCGGCGGCGGCGGCAGCGGCGGCGGCGTGCCCCTGTGTCCCTGCCGCGGCAGGGAATAGGCGAAACGGTGGCCGTCGTCCCATGTCGGCGGCAGTTACTTTGGGTCATGACGGCCAGAGGGCGTGCGCCCGTGCACCGGGGGAGGATCGATCCCGGCAATCCCGCCAAGAGGATAGATTATATTTAGCCGGCTTTTTGCATCCCCTTGGCGGTGCATCGCCCGTACACGGTTGTGCGTGGAAATTGCGCTTAGGCAACATACATACGGTATCGTCGTCGCCGTCGTTATTGCCTGGACGACAACCGCGAGAGAGCAAACCGGCAACCGTGAACAGGAGAAGATAGCGCGAACGCATTGGGCCTCGGCCCAGACAAAATGTAGAGTCTGTCCGTGTGACGTCAATCCTTTTCTTTGCCCGGGTGTTAGTCGGGACGAGCATTGTACAAGTGCCCCCGAACGCACCTAGCCGCGGTTGAATAAACACACTCCTGCACCGACCGAAGAGCGCGATATTACACGTGTCCGGACCTGTCAAGCACAATAGCTTAACACCCTCCCCCCTTTCCCCTGGAGTTTTTAGAAGCCTCCCGAGACACTAATTTCAACACCTTGAAGATAAGCTTTGTATTGACCACCGTCTTCTCTTAGTACTGACGAAAAGGCAGTAGCGAAAAGAAAATTCCCTGAATGAAAAATATTGTTGCCGATCGTCCTGTATTATGAAAATCGCAGTATTGAAGAGCACCACCGGGGCTTACAGGGTTGGAAAGTAACTCAATTTGCTACAGGAGCGATGTTCCCTGGCCATTCTGAAAATGGGAATTTTCCAGATGCAAGTAATATCACGTTTAAAAATTAAAAATATGAAAAATAATAATATACTGGTCCGTCGGACTGATTTAGACTGTTTCAAACGATGTCAGACGAATTGTTAAAAAAAAATAATAATAATAATAAAATCATAAAATTGATAAATTTAAATAAGCCAATTTTATTCGTAGAAATACAATAGGTACTTCTTATAAGTACTATCGTCATTTAAAAGGTATTCTGTTCGTTATTTTTAACGTAGAGTCAAACAAAAAAAAAAACAAGACGCATAGCCACGGTGATAATATTTATTCGAGTGAGTAAAACAATTGCAATAATAATAATTATTATTTTCCACCCTCTAGTTTCAGTTTGTTTAAGAAGCAAGCAGTCCTCTCAAGAGCTGACAAACACAAAACACGTTAAATATACTTATAATATAACGAACTCTTTGTTGGATATTTATTTTATTTACTAATGTCCGTGTCTTGTACATACATATAACGCACTAAGTAATCCTACATAAACTTTTCACACGTTGAGAAAATCCGAATGTTAAACTAACAAACGCGAAGCTCAAACACAGCTCTCTGTCAACACAGTATGTGACAATATCGAATTTATAAACTACTTAAACAATATTTATTATTTATTTGATATTGAAAATGTTCGTTAATAACTGTTTTATTTTTCCTTAGTTTGTACTTATAGTACATAGATTTACATAATATTCAATTATTAGACTCAAATATCCGACACTCGGCTATATAGAATAATACATTTTTTGGTAAAAATAAATTACCCAACGACTAATGAATAATTACAACGTTATCGTGGGAAAATATAACGCCGTCCATGACCAATCTATAAAATAGCCGAAAACTTTTAAGCCAAGTACCACGCCACATTTATGTTTCCATTATTTATACAAATAAAAAAAACGCACAACCACTCCAATCACAAAGTCCACAACTTTTTACATGAGTTATAAAAACCAAATACAATTATTTCCAACACATTGACCATTAAATAAGGAAACAAATCTAACGAAGCCAAGTCAAACCCGCGTCCGAAATCCACACAAACAAAAAGTTTCCCGTACTAAAACATATTTCCAAAAACGTCCCAAACGCATTAAACTCGATTGATGGTATCTACCGAATTGAATATATTACTGCTATAAACAACATCACACCAACATCTAACCTTATTTCAGTTTCTCCATTTCGCACAATTATTATCTGTGCGTTATCCATTAAAATGTAAATCTAGGTGTGGAAAAACAAGTTTCGGACATCAAAGACACAAAAATAAACATAATACCCATAGTTAATTTCCGTCTCAAAGAAGTATATCCACAAACAATAAATACTGGACAATTTTCTTCTTCGAGAATAACAAAAAAATACCCTATTTAAAGTGCTTTAAAATCGCCTCTAAAGTTTTGTTTACAGCTTAGAAAACAAAAATCACAATTCTCTAATTTTTTTGTTTGTTTTAAAAAAAAAAACCAAATCTAAATTAATTATAACACTAGTTCTGAATTCAACCGAGAAAATAGAATAAAAAACTCTATTTGATACTTTTTTTAAAAAACTATTCAAACATACAAAAAACGCAGATAACAATGTAGTAAGTTATAACTTTGCTAGCGATTTAAACAATAATTTGTCGTGCTATAGAAAATCTTAAACAATATTTTGTTTCAGCTATAAAATTTATTGTATTTAAAAAAAAGTCAAATTTTGTTATACAACGTTATTGTAGTTAAAATATAGAAGGTATTAGTGTTTTTTTTTACTATAAAATGGTTAAGCTTTATTATTACAGGTAAAACTAATAAATTTAAAACTATTGTATTACACAAAACTATTAAATCTATTAGAAATCCAAAAATATATTGTATGCGGTTTCTTTAAATTCGTTTGTGTTTTACTCAAACAAAACAACAGCCATTCATATTTCACGTAGATATGTATATATTCAATATAAAAATTGTAAATAAAAATATATTAGATACGGACTAGTGTAAGTCGAAAAGTGATTACCCCCCCCCCCCCCATTATTTTTAATAAAAAACCGTCTTTGTCGTTTATCCGTTTAACACAAAAAACTCGTATAAAATTTGATTTTTTTTTGTCTTCGTTCGGCATCATATTGTCTTTTAACTCGGGTTTTATTCCAAGTGTTTGATGATGGCCTAGTGATTTGTTTATTTTTTTTTTTTGGTACATATTCTTAGTTCTTAGTTTTCGTTTTTATACACACCTACGCAGCCGCTACATTACATTATCCAATAACATAATACGCCCTTATTCGGTTTCCACAGAAAAAAAAAAGAAATCACTGTTGTAATATTATTTTTTCTATAGACTATAACCATGTAGGTATACAGATGCAGGAGTGTAAATTTGTCTTCGGGCCTAATGACAGGTTATTTCATTGTGTTCCGTATCTGTTCGGCCTTTTTTTCTACCTCACTTCCCATTTTCAATAGCAAACAAACCTAAATCCTAAGTCAGCTTACACGGCATTCCATTATTTCACACTTCTCTAATAGAATTTTTATGAACACTATTGTCCACGCGATAAATCATATAAGTTTATTAGAAAAAAGAAAATCGTTTCGTAATTCGAATTTATTACATTCAATCAAAAACCTACATTTGATGTTTTTTTTTCAAATGACTTACACTTTGATTGTTTTTATTATTATATGACACGCTTTAGGATAGGATTAAAAGCCTCAAGTTTCTTTGCACAAAACGACGGAAAAAAAAACATTATGTTTTTTTAATAACTTGCAATAAATTACAAATTATAACACAAAGAGATTATCAACTCGGATTAAGCTTAGTAAATCTCGTTTTTTTAATTACGTTTTGTTTGTGTAATATACTTTTTGTTAAAATATATATATATAAAATTAGTGTCTTATGCAATTGACTAGTAACAAATTAAAAAATAATCAACGTACCACGTCCAAACAGGATTTACATAGCTATTATGTAAATGTGACTACTAAGTTTATAAGTAAAGTTATAAGAGATATATTATGATAAATTATGTATTAGTGTTTTAATTTTCTAGAAATTAATTATGCTTAAGCAATTTTTAATTTAACTTGCGAATAGTATGGTTAAGAAAAGTTTTCAAATTATTTTTCCTACAAACGGTGCTGTGAAATTTTAGAATAATTTAGCTCAGCAATACTTTTATTTATTTGTTTATGGCTTTACGTTTAAAATTATTCCCTTCCATCTAAGTAATATTTCTATTACAGCAAAGCTATATTGTAAACAATCGTGTTAAATTTTACTTTTAGCAATCGGCGTTTGCGGGACTCACTAGGAATTTTTTAAAAATCTAAATTAGTTTATCTGGTCTATTCATAACAAATGAACGCTTAAAAATCCTATAGGCGTACGTACACGGGTTGTTCAGGATTTTTCTTTTACTTTGAATAACATCTATTTTATCAATCCTCTTGCCACTTTCCAAATAATCCAAACACATTTTTAGTGACGCACGCAAAAAGTCTGCGGGGAGTACATTTTGCATTTGAAACATATTGTATGACACCCTCATCAAATATGTATGTGAGCCATATTCTACTTGCCACGTCTATTTCGGTTTCTCTATTACCTTGCTTAACTTATCTAAAATATTTCTCTACTCTATTATCCAATTGATTTCCAGACATTCAAGAAGGTTTCAACAACATTAGCTCTCCAACACACTATAGCCAAAACATTCATAACTGTATTCCAAATCTATACTTAAATTCTCAATAGATTTTTTTCTATTGCTGTAACATCAGCCTAGCACTTTCATCCTATACAGTTACAAAACCCGCAAACAATAGATTAAGGTTTTACATCCGACCTATTTTTTTCCACAAGTTCACACATAAATTAAATAAGTATTGTTAACAATAGTTAAGGTAATTTTTTTTTCAAAAATACACAAAAAAAATGAAATTTAAATTCAACAATCCTATTATATTATTTGCGCGCGTGTGATTATTTTCACCGACAAATATTTACAATCAAACTATACAAATACATTTTCAATTAATAAATACTTTTAAACGAAATTAACAATTTTAATAAAATACATTATATCAATACGAGGAAACCCGTAAAAAGTTCCTCGAC